TGGTGATGCTCACATTTCCCCCAAGCTTCTAGCCCATCTAATATTAGTTACGCTATTTCAGATGTCTCAGTGTGCCAGGGGCTTAGGTGTCCTGACACACATCACTGCATAAAGGCGGTCCTGGGTACCAAGGCTGTCAGGACAGCGCATCGCAAGGGGGGATGAATTTGCACCTATCCCTACAGCCTGTCCTTTAGGACTTGACTTGGTATAGTGGGTGCATGTGAAGATGTCCCGGATAATCTTAGCTACCTGCTATTTTTCTCAGGGCGTGGGAGGGATTTGTTGAGTTTGGGAGTCACCCAGGACCTAGAGAATGTGGCTGAGAAGGAACCTTCTTGTTTACCCCCTTCTCACAAGGGAATCCACCAGGGCTGTGGTCCTCACGATTATGGAGAACTTGAAGCTGCCCTCCAGCCTTCTGTTCCATCTGTATAGACTAGCCGGCCGTTAGAGTGGACGTTGTGGCTGTTTATACACAGTTTGGTGTGCAGAATAAGACTGCTGGTTGGACCAGCCTCAGAAGACTTTGTTTCTTTCCGCAGGACTTACAAGAGAGATGAAAGGTGATTGCCGGGGATTATTTGTGGGGAAGTAGCCCAAGCTACTTGATTCTTAATGCTAAAATGGGCTCTAATCCTTGTTTCCTTTTCGGTATTGGATTAGAAAAATGTAGGGCAGCATTAGAATTGGCTGTTAACAATACCCACGACAAATATATCTCCCAAGAATTTTGGAATGGGAGTACCTAGACAGGAAGGATTGGAGTCCAAATTTTTACCTCTACCTGAAGTCACTCTTCCAAGCTCCAGCTACGTGCTCTCCATCCCCCCTCAGATGTCTCTCAGCCATCTCAATCTTTAATTAAAAACACGCAATGGGGCTCCTGGGTGGCTCAGTCGTTAAGTGGCTGCCTTTGGCTCAGGTCATGATCCCAGGGTCCTGGGATGGAGTGGAGCCTCGCTTCAGGCTCCCTGCTCAGCGGGAAGCCTGCTTCTCCCTCACCCACTCTCCCTGCTTGTGTTCCCTCTCTCACTGTGTCTCTCTCTCTCTCTATCAAATGAATAAATAAAATCTAAAAAAAAAAAAAAGCCAAACAGACAAAAACTTCTTGGTATTTTCTTACAAATCAGTTCTTCCTCTAAATCTGTTCTCTATGTATCTCCAAATGTCTTTCTATCAATTTCTTTGCTTGAGCCAAAAACCCGGGAGTTATCTATGTCTCTTCCCCACCCCCAGGGCTCCCATCCAATTCAGTAGCTAGCCCTGTTGGGTTTTTTTTTTTTTTTTAATTTTTTATTTCTTTTCAGCGTAACAGTATTCATTGTTTTTGTACCACACCCAGTGCTCCATGCAATCCGTGCCCTCTCCAATACCCATCACCTGGTTCCCCCAACCTCCCACCCCCCGCCCCTTCAAACCCCTCAGATTGAGCCCTGTTGGTTTTACTTCCAAAATGTGTATCAAATCAATCCACTTCTCACCATGACCCCTACCACCAATTGTGCTGATTTTTTTTTCCTGATTGCAGAGGCCTCCTCGCTCTATGCCCTGCTTCCGTTCTCCTCCCCTCCAATCTCCCCTCAGATCATGTCCCTGCCTTCAGTGGCGTTCCAGTGCCCTTTAGATAAAATCATACTCCCTATCAAGGCCCTAAATGACCTGGCCTCTAACCTCAGCTTATAATGATCTCCAGTTCCAAGACGATGCCCAGCTCTTTTTCCAGCCCAAGCCTTTGTGCCTCTCCTTCTCCTTTCCAGCCTTTGCATGGCTGGCATCTTCCTTATGATGTTCACTTCCTCAGAGAAGCCTTAGCTGGTCCTCCCATGAAGGGAGCTGTCCACACTGTTTTTATTTTTCTGTCTTAGCCTTTGTTTATTCACCTTGGAGAGCACTTATGAGAAGCTGAGACTGCCCTTGATTCAACATCTGGTCCACCAGGCTATAGGCTCTGTGGGAGCTGCGCCACGTCTTCTGTGTTTCATTCCTGGTGCCTGGTCCACTGACTGGTAAACCATGGTTACTCAGCAAATGTTATGGAATGAGTGAGTGAATGAATGAATAGATTATGTTACCATATCATTATTTCTAATGAGTACATGGTATTCCATTATATTAACATAACCTAATTGACTTAAGTACTACTCTATCGTTGGATATGTTTGTTCCTGATTTTTCACCACACTGAAATCTGGGAAATAATCTGAATGGCTATTGGGGAAGTTGTTGACTAAACTAGGGTCTGGTATGCAGGCATTTAATATCAGAAAGCATTTTTATTCACATGAGGAAAATGAGCTTATTCATGAAAAAAGCATCATACAAAATTATAAACACAGCATGATCTTAACTACATAGAGTTGCATGGAAAAAGCTAGCAGGAAATAAACTAAAATGTTAATTATGTATTTCAAGTTGGCAGGATTACAGGTGATCTTTCTTCTTGATTTTGTTTTTTAATATACACAAGTAGTACATGGTATTTTCTTGTTTATACTTCTTTCTATTTTCCATACTTACTACAGTGTGTGGTTTTTTAATAATCAAGTAAAATGTTCTTAAAGATTTTTTTTTTAAGATTTTATTTATTTATTTGACAGAGAGTGCCCAAGCAGAGGGTGGTGGCAGGGAGTCCGGGCAGAGAGAGAGGGAGAACCAGGCTCAGCAGGAAGCCTGACACAGGACTCGATCCCAGGACCCTGGGATCCTGACCTGAGCTGAAGGCAGACGCTTAACCTACTGAGCCACCCAGGTGCCCCAAGTTCTTAAAGATTTTAAGAAACTTTCATGACGTGTCAAATTATTGAACATGATCAAAAGCAGAATTAGAAACATGCCCTAGAGAATGACCTAAATGTTTGAAACACACTTGCTGATGGCATCTGCTTACCTTTGAGTCCTTCCAGGCCTTTATAGTACCTGGATTTAGGAAGGTGAAAGTTTTATTTCCTGTGAAGACTTCATGGCTGGGTAGACCTGTGTGTGGTATGGAATTTCTAGGAACTATGGTTTAACAAAATGGTGATTTTGGTTGCACTCAGGGTTAGAAAGACATCACAACTGCCCTTCACATCTGTTTTTGGAGCTTGAGGGGGTTCATGTGGCCTGAGGTATTGTCATAGTCTCTTAGCCATTTAATTTAAGACAGTGGTTCTCAAAAATCCGAGATCCCATGGGGAGTCCATAAGCAAAACTGTCTTTATAATAGGACTAACATGTTATTTGCCTTCTTCACTTTTATTCTCTCACAAGTGCACAGTAGAGTTTTCTAGATGCTATATGATTCATAACAGATTGCAGAAGCAGATAGGAGAACCCAGCTGTCTTTTATGAAGCCAAAGAGAGTTGCAGAAATGTTTTTTTTAAAGCCAGTACTCTCACTAAAAAATTGTTTTATTGTAGAAAATATAATTACATTTAATTAAAATGCTATTTTTGTTAACATATAATGGGGTATTTATTTATTTATTTATTTAGTTCTATGGCCAATGTAAGGCTTAACTCATGACCCAGAGATCAAGAGTCAGCATGTTCTACCATCTGAGCTAGCCAGGTTCTCCTCTTGTTTTTTGTTTTTTTTTTCCCTACCCTTTTTTTTTTTTTTTTTTTTAAAGGCTCAAGGCTTAAGATCTGAGCTGAGATCAAAAGTCAGATGCTGGGGCGCTTGGGTAGCTCAGTGGGTTAAAGCCTCTGCTTTTGGCTCAGGTCATGATCCCAGGGTCCTGGGATCGAGCCCTGCATCGGGCCCTCTGCTCAGCAGGGAGCCTGCTTCCCTCCCTCTCTCTCTGCCTGTCTCTCTGCCTACTTGTGATCTCTGTCTGTCAGATAAATAAATAAAATCTTTAAAAAAAAAAAAAGTCAGATGCTTAACCAACTGAACCATCTAGAAACCGTTCTTATTATTATTTTAAGTGAATTAATGATTACTTTAAAAATTTCTCAGTTTAATTTTTTAAAGATTTTTTTTTTAAGATTTATTTATTTTAGAGACAGAGAGAGCATGAGCAGGGAGAGGGGCAGAGGGAGAGAGAGAGAAACAGACTCCCCACTGAGTGGAGAGGCTGACATGGGGCTTGATCCCAGGACCCTAAGATCTTGACCTGAGCTGAAATCATGAGTCAGATGCTTAACCAACTGAGCCACTCAGGTGCCCTTAAGATTTTATTTTTAAGTAAACTCTATACCCAATGTGGGGCTTGAACTCCCAACCCTAAGATCAAGAGTTACATACTCCACTGCCTGAGCCAGCCAAGAGCTTCTCTCAGTTTAATTTCTAATATGGTAAATATCAATAGATATTTACCCACTTAACAAACATTCTTTGGAGTGTTCAATTTTTTTTTTTAAGATTTTATTTATTTATTTGACAGAGAGATCACAAGTAGGCAGAGAGGCAGGCAGAGGTTGGGGGGAAGCAGGTTCCCTGCTGAGCAGAGAGCCTGATGAGGGGCTCGATCCCAGGACCCTGAGATCAGGACCTGAGCCGAAGGCAGAGGCTTAACCCACTGAGCCACCCAGGCGCCCCTGGAGTCTTCAATTTTTAAAAGTGTAAAGAAGTCCCGAGACCAGAAAGTTTAAGAATCACAAAATTAAAGAACAGGAAGAGGGACACCTGGCTAGCTCAGTGTGTAGAGCATGTGATTCTATATCTTAGGGTCACAAGTTCAAGCCCCACGTTGGGCCTTGAGCTTACTTTAAAAAAAATTATATATATATATATATATATATATATATATATATGTATTTTTTTAAGGAATAAAGGAAAAAGAAAAGTTTGTGGTAATTTGATTATGGCTCAGTAAGCGATTGGTTGAATTGCATGATAGAGAAAACAAAGCCTGTGGGGGTAAATGACCTAGTCTAACATAATAAGCAGGTGTTGAAAGTCATTAACATTGCATTAAATTTTCCTCCCTTCCTCCCTCTTTTCCTCCCTACTTTTCTCCTTTCCTTCTTTCCTTCCCTTCTCCCTTCCTTTCTTTTTTTCTCTCCTTTTTTAGAGATCATGCATGATGTGATAAAGAAGGTAAAGAAGAAGGGGGAGTGGAAGGTAAGTAGAAGAGCACAATTAATGGTCTTAACAGGTGAGTTCCTGTGGAAAACATAACAATGGTGAAAACATAAGAAAATAGAGTTACAAGAAAGGTGTATAATAGGAAATCAAGACTATTGCTGTATCCAGAGAGTACAAAAAAAGGTAATCCATTCTGCCTTATTTTAGGCAGTCTTGGTGAAGAAATCTCTTGGTCATAAAACTTCTCTTAAAGACCACTTGGTGGGACACTTTAGCAGTGGAACTCTTTTATTCCAACAAAACATTGCCTGGAACCTCTTCTATGAAGCAGAAGAAGGTGAAATCATTCTGCTTGCTACGAGAGAGTAGGAAGTCCCTCTGGTGCCCCAAAAGCATCTCCAGGCAGCCCATACAACAGTGTGGAAAGCCCTCATCGTGTCCAGCCCCATTTATCTGTGACTATATATGATAAAAGAAGGAAGCTTGTTTATTCATAGAACATTGGGAGCAATGCTGGAAGCAAGTCCTCAAGCCAATCAGATTGATTCTGTCCTCATTTATCAGAATGGGTGCTTCAAGTGGGAAAGCGTGCTGTCCTCCATTCAGAAAGTCACTTTGTCATCTGGGGCAGGCATTATACTGGCTCGGAGAACACGCTGTTTTACTTGAACTTTCCCATGTGTCATTGGAGGGTTTATACCAATCATTCTTGCCCCTAAGTTGTCCCACGGTCAAGAACCCACATATTTACAAGTTCACTTGGTCCAGGAACAGCAGAGCTGTGTGGTACAGAAGGATTTTGGTCTCTGCCTCAGCCTTTGAGCTAGCATGTCCATATCCTCATCTTTATCCATGTTGTCCTCTTTCTCTTCCCATGAGTAATAGACTTAGGGATTTGCGAGTTTTATTTTTTAACAGAGACTTTTTTTTAAAGATTTTATTTATTTATTTGACAGAAAGAGAGAACACAAGCAGGGACGGGAGGGGGAGCGGGTCGGGCAGGCAGAGGGAGAGGGAAAAGCAGGCTCCCCGAGGGGCAGGGAGCCTGATGTGGGGCTCGATCTCAGGACCCTGGGATCATGACCTAACCAAAGGCAGTTGCTTAACCAATTGAGCCACCCAGGCGCCCTGGGATGTGAGGAAATTGCCTCTTAACATGAGAACTAATTGGCTCTTAGAGCTTTCTGGTCACCATTGTGTCTAGCTCCTGTTACCTCAGTTTATGTCATTAAAGAGGAGGAGAAGGGGCACCTGGGTGGCTCAGTGGGTTAAGCCTCTGCCTTCATCTCGGGTCATGGGTGATGATCCCAGGGTCCTGGGATCGAGCCCCGCATCGGGCTCTCTGCTCAGCAGGGAGCTGCTTCCTCCTCTCTCTCTGCCTGCCTCTCTGCCTACTTGTGATCTCTGTCTGTCAGATAAATAAATAAAATCTTTAAAAATAAAAAAATAATGAGGAGAAGTAGCCTTGTTTTAGCTAATGGCTTCTTCTCTACGCTGTGGCCTGAATGGAGTGGTTAGCTGGAGAATTGCAGGTCTGAAGCTTTCAGACCCAGACTGGTGTGTTCTTGTTTTTCCTGTCTGGACTGAAGTAGAGTATGCTCCCGGACAGCTCGAGTGCTGGTACATCCTCATGGTGTTGGCAACAAAGTACTCATCTTGCATGCTGTATGTGTGGCACGAGTGTTCATTCTCCTTGATTAAAAAAAAAAAAAAAAAAAAGCTGATGCTCTGAAAATATCATCTCCAGTATGGTTTTCTCTGAGTGTGGGCGCTGTAGATGACTTTTTCCTTTTTCTATTTTCTTTTCTTTTTTTTTCTTTCAATTTTTTTTTGAGTAGTCATTTTCTTCATCATGGAAAAACTTTAATTTTTTTAAGCATATACAATTAAGTCAGAGAGAACAAACTCCTAGTCCTAGAAGGTGAGGTTTGCGTGTGGCATGGGAGAGAAAAGCTAGCACGTATGTTAGCAAACGTCTGCCCCATAGGAAGTATTTGTAACTTAATATTCTATTTTTCCGGGACACTTTTTGAAGTCTGACATAGTAGGCTGATGAGAGAATCACAGCCAGTCCCACACAGGCCGTAAGCTGTTCTTTTTGCTTCCAGGTGCTGGTGGTTGATCAGCTGAGCATGAGGATGCTGTCCTCCTGCTGTAAGATGACGGACATCATGACCGAGGGAATAACAAGTGAGCGCAGATCTCTCGCTGCCTTTGAGTGAAACCCAGGCCTCCTCTTTGGCGACCGTTCCCCCTCCCTATTTGATATTATGTCACTTGACTTCACATTTTTCCAACAACCCAGGTGGTAAGGCTGTTAAGTCCTTGAGAGGCCTTCTTGTTTATCACTAAATCTGTAGCACCCAGTGCAGTACTAGACGATCATTAAATATCTGTAATATTTAATATTACTTTATTACATTTTATATTACATTAAATATCTAGTAATAAAGGTGCCAAAAGGGAGGTTAAATCAAGGGAAAGAAGGTAGGCCACCAACAGAAACAGTGCACAAAAGACCTGAATGCCCACTTCACAAAGAAGAGATCCAAATAGCCAAGAAATCCATCAAACATTGGCCACCTACATTAGTTGGTTAAAACCAGAATGAGATCTTGCTATACACTCATCAGATTGGAGTATTTAAATTCTGTTAATGCCAAGTGACAGATAGGATGTAGAAAAATGGGAACTCTTATATGACAGAGTGGATATTCGTATAGTTACTTTGAAAAACACAGGCAGTGTCTGGTAGAGTTGAAGGTGTGTGTGTCCTGCAAGCCAGACGGTTCTACGTGTGTCCTAGACAACTTCCGGCATGTGTGCAGGGCTGTTCACACAGGATTGTACATAGTAGCCCCAAATTAGAAACAACCAAAACATGTAAATCCTGGTATATCATGGTATAGTCACATAGCAGAATACTACGGACGATGAAAATGGAGGAATCTGGATGTTCGCAAGCACATGGGTAGACCTGATGCACGTGATGCTGAGCCAAAGAAACAAGATACAGAAGATACCGTGTGCTTTAATTTATATGAAGTTCCAAACTAGGCAGAACTAAGCTGTGTTGTTGTGAAATGCAGGTGTACACGGTAAAACCATGAAGAGCAGTGATCCCATTCCAGTCGGGATGGGGGTTCTCTCTGGAGGATGGGGGGCAGGGGAGGGTATGGCAAGTCACTTCTACTGTTTCCTGACTGGGGAAGCATTTATGCAGGTGTTTACTTTGCAATTATTTGCATGTTTATGTGTTACTCACTCTTTAAACTGCCTGTTATAATTTCACAATCATAGGCTTTTTAAAAAATTTAAGTCAGCTGCTCAAGGTCACTGGCCGGTAGCTCACACCTGAGACTAGGACTCAGCCCTCTGGCTCCTGTCCTTGAGCTCTACTCCCATTTGTGTGTAGCTCTTGTGTTACTCAGTGTCTCCTTTCAAGAGGGGTCCTGTATTTTAACCTTTGAAATAGCATTCTCTTCTGAGCTGTCTCGGAGGACTGAAAAACAATACCTTGGAGCTATTGTTTCAAACAAAGAAGTTAACCTTTGTTGTTCCTCTGAAGAAAATGTTGGGTGGAACACACCTGTTGCAATTTACTTAATAATTTTTTCCCCCCTGGAGACTTCTTATGAAGACTTATGCAAGTCTTATGGGGCTTGCAGACGCTTGATGGTCTTTGTCAAAATGAAAACAAACCGCGGTTATGGGAGGAAGAGCTAGGAGGGTTGAGATTTCAATAAGCTTAGTGAATTTTATTCAAAGGTTTGTCCTTTATTCTAAACTTAGGTCTTTCCTATTATTTGGTGTTAAAATGTTTTGAAATTGTGAAATTATGGTGATAATATATCGTGGATTTTCTTATTGATTAAATTCTAAGTGAATATATATGTATGAATATATATGTAATGATTTTGGGGGGTATAATCACACCTTGGATGTGAGTCCTTCATGTTTATTTATTTATTTTTAAAGATTTTATTTACTTGACAGAGAGAGAGAGCAAGCACAAGCAGAGGGAGTGGGAGAGGGAGAAGCAGGCTCCCCACTCAGCATGGAGCCCGATGTGGGGCTTGATCCCAGGACCTTGGTACCATGACCTGAACCGAAGGCAGATGCCCAACCAACTAAGCCACCCAGGCACCCTAAGTCCTTCATTTTTTTTTTTTAATTCCTTTTTTTTTTTAAAGATTTTATTTATTTATTTGACAGAGGTCACAATTAGGCAGAGAGACAGGCAGAGAGAGAGAGAGAGGAGGAAGCAGGTTCCCTGCCAAGCAGAGAGCTCAATGCGGGACTTGATCCCAGGACGCTGGGATCATGACCTGAGCCGAAGGCAGCCGCTTAACCAACTGAGCCACCCAGGCGTCCCAAGTCCTTCATTTTTAAAAACACTTTTCCAAATCCAGTGTATCTGTCACCAGAAACCTAGTCCTATAAATGAGAGTACATAATTTTTACTGTGACTTCTTGTCATTCAGTGATTGAAAACTGGGCTTGCCCCTGTTTTGAGCTTACAAAATTATTTTCTTCATTGTATTTTTAAAAAGATTTTATTTATTTATTTGACAGAGAGAGACACAGTGAGAGAGGGAATACAAGCAGGGGGAGTGAGAGAGGGAGAAGAAGACTCCCCGTTGAGCAAGGAGCCCGATGTGGGGCTCGATCCCAGGACCCTGGGATCATGACCTGAGCCAAAGGCAGATACTTAACAACTGAGCTACCCAGGCACCCCTTCACTGTATTTTTTTAAAGATTCGTTTATTTATTTATTTGAGAGAGAGAGAGAGAGGGCCAGGGGAGAGGCAGAGGGAGAGGGGAGAGGCAATCCCAGACTCCCTGTTGAGTGAGAAGCCCAATGTGGGGCTCCATCCCTGGACCCTGAGATCACACCTGAGCCAAAATAGTCACTCAACCAATTGAACCACCCATTCACCTCTTCACTGAATTTTTAAAATAATGTTTTTCCTCTCTCAAAGCAAAAAATGTACAAAAGTTAAGGGAGGGGATAGAGCCAAATGGAGCTTCTAATGAAGAGCTTCTAATGAAGACGCAGCAGCATCGTGGCCCACTCCTTTCTTCCTCAGGCTCTCCTCTATCTTCTGGTTATCCTCTCGGTATTTCTGGATACTTAGACTATTGTCTTTGGATTCATCGATGGTAGATGTTATCTTTTAGCTCCCTGTGGTAGAAGAGGGTTCAGCTCCCCCTGCTGCACACAGCCTTTTCCCTGCTTCCAAAGGTGGGTTCTATAGAAGGTCTTTGCTTGACAAAATTGAGACGTTAGCAATCCTGGGTGTGGGACCCCCAAAACATTTTGGGGGACATATTGTTCGCATAAGAAATTTAGAAATCTACAACTACTGGTAAAGTAGATGGTTGAAGGATTTCGGTATTTGAACATTATTTGGGGTAAAAAGTCTTTGTAAATGTTACAAGGTATCATCCTAAAGTGATACTTTTATTTGCTTAAATCCTCTGCATGGGAAGAATGGCGCCGAGTGATTTTACTCTTCTCCCTGTACCAGAGGACAGTACAGCATAGACAGCACATCCTAAGCTTTGTCAGGTGGCTGGTAAGATGAGGATTATCCCAGAAGCTCTTCTTTCCAGGGGAAGTAGCTGACATAACTTTAAAGGAAACAAGCAAACCAAATGCTTGTGGTTTAACAAAAGATAATGTTTATCTTTGAGCTATTGGGAAGGAGGACTGTATTAGATAAGAGGGCATGTTTGAAATATCTTCATGTTATACAGAAGAAAATGATAAAAACTAATTGTTGATAAACAAACTCAGCCTGGAAATTCTAAAGGAATTGGGATTATTTGGGACAGAGGAGGAAAAGAACAAAGGAAAGGGTAAAAGACTGCTGGTGACAGTCTACCATTTTAACCACGAGATCAAGGAGTTTACTTACACTGAAATGGGAGATATTGAGTGATAAAATTTCAGGTTTCCTAACCTCTTGAGCACTGTGAGGCAGTGCAATGTGGTAACTCCAAGGAAGGGGCAAGTGATTCCCACCTCACGTCCGAGATTTTCACCTGCCGCAACCCGAAGGTGGCCTTTCTAGATTGTTTCTAGTTCTGTGATCACTGGTTCTGTTTCCTTACTGACTGTGAGCTGCTGTCTGTTGTCTAGTCGTGGAGGACATCAACAAGCGCAGAGAGCCGCTCCCCAGCCTGGAGGCCGTGTATCTCATCACTCCGTCTGAGAAGGCAAGTCCCGCCCCCAGGAGTGCTTTGGCTAAGGTTGCACGTGCTGGCTTGGCGTCTGTGGCGTAGAGTGTCTGACATTTCTAGGTTAAGCGTGCATTTAACACACTGCTCTGATTAAAGTGTGCAATCCACAAGCAGGGAAGGAGGGGTGCAGTGTGGAGTGAGAGTGCATTAAGCTCTCTGAAACACCACCGTTGTCCAGAAGGCCGGACTCGGATCAGTCTAGTCCCCCGCTTTGCACTCCCTCTCTAGGAGGAGATCCAGTGTATCTAATTAGTGACCCACCTCCAGAACTCTGGTATTTTATGCTTTTGGGTCTATTTCATCAATATCCAGGTTGTGTGGAATTTACCCGTCTTATCATTTTTGGAGGTTGGTTTGAGTCAGTATCCAGACAAGACACACCTCCTTGCACTTGGTTGATAGTTTTCTTAGATCTCGTTATCTGTATAAATTCCTTTCTTTTCACTTTTGAAAACTGGCTTACATCTGAGTTTCTGCAGAAGCAACTAAATTGCCAGAACTTCATCCACATGAGTTTCCTGGAAGGTTTTTGACCAATTTCCTCTTCTATGAATATCTTCCAGGAACCCAAGTTATAATGGTTCCAAAGAACTGACGCTGTCTTCCAGAATGAGCTAAGAAGGCTTCTGTTCATCTAAACTCTGAAACAATCCTGATTTTAAGTCTTCCGAACTCTGTTATAGGCAAACATGAATTATACATTTTTAAAAATCCCCCATTATTTTGTACAGGCAGCTTGGATTTAACCCAGTTCAGAAATAGGTCCCATTTGCTTCTAGAACTGGTTCAATTCCCTTTTTTTTTCCCTCGCTGCAGTCCGTACACTCTCTCATCGGTGACTTTAAGGACCCACCAACCGCTAAGTACCGGGCTGCGCACGTCTTCTTCACAGACTGTAAGTATGGCCGGCAGCTGCCCCCCACCTCGTCCTTCTGGGTTAGTGTTTCTGCCCAGCAAGCCTGATCCGTAGGGAAGAAATGGGTTGTTGCCATGTTTCTCCTGAGCTTTTATTTTCTCTTCAGAAGATAAATTGCATAAGAGACAAAAATAAACACGCACAACGACAAACCTACTCGGTCATGCAGTTCTTCCTGATGAAAAATAGAATCTCTTCTAAGGACTAGAGGCTTTAATGCTGAGAACAATTTTCCAGCGCTAGCTTTGATGTTTCACTGTATAGACTTCCAGGTTTCACCATACTGGAGTGTATTTCCATCAGTTTTCATACCAAGATAGTCCCATCCGGTGGTGATGGTAGCAGACGGAATTGCTGCTACCATTGCTGTCTTGGAATTCACGTTCGTATTTTGTGGAGGCTTCACGCATGCAGCCTAGTGCAGAATGAGCTTGGTCAGTCAGTGTTCACAGCAAAGAGTGAGGAGTCAGGCTGGCTAGCTTACAGCGCCAGCAACAGCAGCACACCCACTGCTCTTCTCTTTCTCACCGCTGAGAAAACGAGAAAGGTTCTTGCAAAGAGTAATTGGGTACTATTTGGGTACACATAAAAAAGGAGCAGAGAGGTGACATTAGCAATAATAAACTGAAAATGCATTTCTGAGAATGCGAAGCCATTTGTTTGGCCCCAGAGAGCCCCTGGCAGTCTCGGTTTCCCCACCAAGTGGGTCTCCTGTGTAGCCAAGCTCCTGCAAGGGTCCCGGAGAAATGCCTGCACCACCTTGCCAGCGGTTCCATTTGTCCTCATTGCATTTTTCATAAACGTGTCAGATGTGTAGTGTCTGTTCATATCACAGGACTTTTCTTTATCCCTTCTTAATCAACTGGGCTTTTTCCTTTCCTCGATATCAGAAAGTAGTTTTTATTAGCTCATTAGCTAATATCAGTATCTTAGTACCTCAGTCTCTTTTGCCATTTGCTTCTCTCTTAGATGTTGAGGGCCTTTTAGGTGGTTCTACATTCCTTTTGTATCTAGAGATAGGAGATATTCTAGGATGGGACGAACTTTCTAGTTGCCTTCTTAAAATACTATTAAAATAGAAAATCCCCCAGATGTGTGCAACTGTCGAAATGGACCCACAGGTGGACAGGTAAATCTGTGGTATTTTGTCCTTCTTGCAGCTTGTCCAGACGCCCTGTTTAATGAGCTGGTGAAATCTCGAGCCGCCAAAGTCATCAAAACTCTGACGGAAATCAACATTGCATTTCTGCCCTACGAGTCCCAGGTGAGGCTGAGTGTGTGGAGTGCGTAGAAAGTCTGAGTCCTCGCTGCTCGCTCAGGAGCTCTGGCGCGTCCTGGCGGATGCAGTGAGCAGAGTCGGGGAGGAAGACATCGTATTCTGAATTGCCGAATGACCTGTGTTGTAAGTGGATGTGGATGGAACCGAAACAGAGTTCCTTATAGGTCTGCCCAAGGCCGTCATCTTTCTGTCCTCTGGTTAATTCTGACTTTTTTTTTTTTTTTTAAATCCTTTCGTTGTGTCCATTTCATCCCTGCTCACAGTGTTCACTCCTACTGGCTGACTCCTTGAGTCACCAAAGGTAGCCAATCCCAAAAGAGCAGGAAGGAGAGCAGGGGCAGGGATCAGAAGGCACCCATCTGCCGCACAGGAGCCTGGTGTGTGCAGAGATCGCCTCCCTGATGCTCTGCGGGAGGAGCAGATGGTAGCCTTCCGCGGCGGCCGTTAACACTTCAGATGCCAGAGCGCGACAAACCTCTCCCCTTGGGAAAAAGCTAAGTTGTTAAGCCAGTTAAAGGTGTAGCTGATTGTGGAGAGCATACAAAATTTCTACCTTCGTTTTGTAACATTGGTGAACGTGTCTTCTTCCAGCAAACAAACAAAACTAACAGAACTCTTAGGCATTTTGTAAAAGCTGATTGTGGCTCATGGCATCTTTATAGATTAGCTTCCAGACATCAGGGAGTGACCCGTTCTTGGGTAAGGAGGGATGTAGAACATACAGTGTGAGAATCTACAGAGTCTTTCCCTTAGCACTTAATGTCAAACCTGTTTCCAGCTTGAAGGCAGGATTTTTTTCTCTGTGTGAGCCTACCGGATTAAACAAAACACGACTTTAGCGTATTCAATCAGATGACATTTCATATATTTTTAAAAAGTAATAAACTTTTTAACCACAGGTTTTCTAGATGATCAGGGTAGTTTACATAAGTGAGATTCTGAGAAAATACTGATGGTTGATAGACTAGGTAATTTAAGAGGAAATTTTATTCTAGAATAAGAAGAAAAATACTAACAAAGTATTCCTGAGGATAGGAAAGTATTAAATCCATAAAAATCTCCTTTATTTGCCCCCAGTCACAGATGATTTCCAGCCTGTTCCTTACTTATAAAAACTAAACCTATAATGGCCCAGAGGTTCTCACACTAACCTCCTCTCCTGTTCTTCTTCTGGCCTCCTCATTGTTCATCAGACACTCTGAGCACGGGCCTGCCGCAGGGCCTTGGCGCTAGCTATTGCCTCCACGTGGAAGTCTCCTGCTGGTGAGAAACTCCTCACCTCCTTCAAGCCCTTGCTCCTACATCACCTTCTCAAGGAGGCCTGCTCTCCTCCTTCCCTGCTGCCCTCCAGCATTCTTTCCCTGCTCTGTTATGTTCTCATACACTTACACCAATTTCTCACATAATATAGTTTACTTTTCATTATGCCTATTGTTTATGGTTATGTTATTCTCTTGGAAGACTGCAACTCCTCGAGGACAGTCATGTTTTGGTCACTGATAGTTCCCAAGTGTTTAGCGCAATGCCTGGCCTGCAAAAGACACCCAGCACATATCGGTAGACTCACCACCAAGGTTGGAGGAAACTCCCAACAGTTCACCATTCTGGATGCAAACACAATAGATATAGATAATTTTATTTCTTGTTTCTCTTCCTTCTCTTCCAAGGTGTATTCCTTGGACTCTGCGGACTCTTTCCAGAGCTTCTACAGTCCCCACAAAGCTCAGATGAAGAATCCCATACTGGAGCGCCTGGCAGAGCAGATCGCAACTCTGTGTGCCACCCTGAAGGAGTACCCGGCTGTGCGGTATCGGGGGTAAGGCGGCACGCCGGGCCACCCTCTGTGTCCTCCCCTGTGTCCACCAGCCAAGGAGCTTCCTTCCGTCTTGAGATTCCTCTGCCAGTTGCCTCTGGGGTTAAGAGGGTTAAGATTTGAGTATCTTGTGCTTATAATCATTCTTCCAATATTTTTGATATTCTCTAAATTTTATTGTGAAATGTAATAATGCATCCAGAAAACGGCATGAAAGATATATATTCAGGGGCTGAATAGCTAACTGTGAACCCCTATGTAACCACAACCTAGGCTTCCTGTGGTTTTGTAGCTCTTTCTAACCTTTCAAAACAAATACCGTCTTTGTAAAAGGTATTCTGGAGTAAGATAAAACACAAGGATAATTCCCCAAAGGACATATTCCGCAGATTTTATAAAATCATTCACTTATTACTTGACTGCTGTGTACCAAGTGCTAGGGGGAGTACTTACCTTGAAGGCACAGCCCTGGTGCTTAGAAGCCCTTGATCTGTGTGGAGCGTAGGTAACAGGCATACCAACACGTGTGTGTAAGTGGTGCACACCTGAGCCACAGGGTCTGTGAGACCAGAGTCCGAGGACAGGACAAGCCAAGGACCTGGGCATCCAGAGTCAGGAGAGGGCCTTTTGGGCTGAGAGGGTCAGGAAGGGCTTCAGAGCAGAGGTGACATTTAAGCAAGGTCTTGAAGGTAGTTTTGGATTTCAGTAGACCAGTAAGGAGCCATAGGGCACTTTGTGTGGACAGTTGGCTCTTGCCATTGGGATGAACGGAAGTTTGGAGCTGGGAAAGCAAAGGGCAGATTTGAGGAGGATTGGCGTTCTGGCCATTTTGGCACAGTGTCTGTGTGGGGCTGTGGGGCAACTCTGAAGCCATTCCAGGAGGCCCTGGAGGCCATGCTTGGGATTGTGTCATTCAGTGGTTTTCAGTGGGGACGTCTGGGGGGATTTGCATGGGAGAGTGAGCGCAGTACTGTGGGGATGAGGACAGCAGAGAGACCCAGAGGGGCTGCCACTGCAGGGGTAGTGAAGGGCCTGAGCTGGCATTGCTGAAGATGGAGGTGGCTGCCTGTCCTTACTGACTCCGGGTCTGCTGGAGTGTTGCAGCCGTGGAAAAGCCCCTCCCTCTATTGTTGGTACTGGCTGACCAAAGCCCGGTGGAAATTAAGAAATGGGGGCCTAGGCTATATGTCCTGACGGGGCCAGGGGAGCTTGGAGTTCATTCATGGGGGGAGTGGGACTGGGAACAGAGCTGCTTGAGCACTGAGCCGGCCAGGAGACAGGCAGCAGCTGCACACTTCTTACCATCGGGACGAGCCCCGGGAAGTGCTGTCAGGCCGGCCATGGGGAAAGGTCCACCGGCTCTCACTTACATCTTTCTGGCTCTGCCAGCAGAAATATCACCTGCCAACAGCACAAAAAAGCCCCAAGAGGATTTGAATTGAGGGAAGTGAGAACCGGGTGGGTGAGACTCAGGCTGATCACGGGAGAAGGGTGGACGGACGGCCAGGAGCCGCTGCTGAAGCGCGGTTGTTTCTGAGGCCGGTGAGAGAGACCGCCTCTATACCCATCTGGATTTTTTTTTTAAAGGAACTAGAAAATGTTCCAGGCACTGAGCAAAGTATTTTATTTGTCATTTTAAGTTATGTATATAATACATGAATATATCCTCAGAGTAGAACAGTATTTCCTGCCTTCCGCCCCAAGGGCAGTCGGTGCCGTTGGGTGGGCGGGTGCATGGCCAGTTCACTCTGTGTCACTCCTCCTTTGTCAGGGAATACAAGGACAATGCTTTGCTGGCTCAGCTAATCCAGGACAAGCTTGATGCCTACAAAGCCGATGACCCAACGATGGGAGAGGTAAGTCTGGACTTGATCCTGGTGGCTGTCTTGCCAAGGGACCACAGTGTCTGTGTGGCAGTCCTGGGGACAGCGCTGTGGCTCACAGCATGCGCATGGGTGCCTCTGTTCCCGCACATTGGCCTCTGGTGACATGCTTGAGCCCTTGGGTCGGGGGTGGGCGGGGGATACAGATTCTGCTCAGTGTAGCCAAGGTGCCCAGCCTGTTTCTGTTGAGACCTTCCCGGTGTTAGCACTGGAAGTCCTGCGTCCTGGGAACCCCCTCAGTAGTGCAGTATCAAAGCCAGAAGATTGATGTTGGCATCATCTCAGCCCTTAATCACATCCGTCTAGTTTGTACGTGTGCTCGCACGTGTGGACGGTTCTGTGCGATTTCATCACATGTGGAGACTCACGTAACCCCCACTGCAGGCAGGACCTGACTGTTCTATCACTATCATAAACTTAAAACTGGAAGTCCCAGGTCCTAGGAACCCCCTGGGTCACCCAGACAGACTGGATGGTGGGTCACCCTACTTATAAGCAAATCCAGGTGGTACTGTCTTTCATAAGCTTACCTCGGACCCCGGCCACAGTTTTGGATCAACTTTAAGGACCCCTGTTAGGAAATAGACACATTGGATTTTTGCACGGTGTTTACTGGCATTTCTGTCAAGCAGCAAATGGACTAGTCAGTGCTATTTTAGCAGCTTTTATCTCCGAGGTCACTTCCTGGGGCTGCTTTGACAGGAGGGGCAGCTGTGCCGGTGGGAGAGGCTGGAGTTGTATGGGTGGCTTGCGGAAGCTTTCCCTGTGTCTGTCCTTCCAGGGCCCAGACAAGGCACGCTCCCAGCTCCTGATCCTGGACCGCGGCTTCGATCCCAGCTCCCCCGTGCTTCACGAACTGACTTTTCAGGCTATGAGTTATGACCTGCTGCCCATTGAAAATGATGTATACAAGTAAGTGTACAGACCAGGACGGCTTTGCAGACAAACCAAATGCACCTCTAACCTAAGAGAAAGGATGTCTTTCATCCTCCGGAAAGCGGGTGCATTGAAATAGTTTTGCTAGTAAGCCTGCAAGCTTTTCTGTGAGTGTCCCAAATCTACCTGGCATTAACAGCCAGGAGCTCGTGCCCCTTTGGGGGAGAACAAGAACTTTAGATCTTTAGTTTGTGGCTCATGTCACCTCAGCTCAGAGCCTGCTTGAGGCTTCATGTGTTGGGTGCGTGTTATCTGTGCGCACGTGTATCTTATGCAGAGTTCAAGCTTCTTGTCATGAAATATGGTGATAAAATACATCAGCAGAAGTTTGTTACTGAATTTTATTTGCAAAGGAGCTGTTTTCTTCATTGTAAACAACACTTTTCTTGGTAACAATCACCCTAAGCTCAGTTTCTAAAAACTAATTTTTCTTTTTTTGGAAACAGACTGTATTGTCTTCATGTCATTTGTTTTATAACATGAATCATAAAGATAATGGTTTCAAAATGAAGGTTCTAAAAATATGACTGTATATCAGTCTTCCTCCCTATTGATACCCGTAATTCTTGCTTTCCCCTTAGACGTTAGTGATTTCACATGTAAAAATATGCTGAGGACCTGTTGCAGGCACCTGATTTTAAAACTGGAAATTTAGGTAGCACACATTTGAGGATGGTGTCAGTCCTTCCCAGGAAGGAGCAAGCATAATCTTTGTTTATTCCTTATAAGTACCTCTGAACCCACCTGTATCCTAACTTGAGCCCATACCAGCTGACCCTGCAGATTTTATTTTATTTTATTTCTATTTATTTATTTATTTGACAGCAAGAGAGAGAGAGAGAGATCACAAGTAGGCAGAGAGTGAGGGGGAAGCAGGCTCCCCACTGAGCAGAGAGCCCGATTCGGGGCTCGATCCCAGGACCCTGAGATCATGACCTAAGCCGAAGGCAGAGGCTCAGCCCACTTAGCCACCCAGGTGCCCCAACCCTGCAGATTTTAAAACAGAGCTTCAAGTGCATTGACTCTGGGTCTCTCCCTGCCTGAGAAACTGCAGCTGTGTCAGGTGCTGAGCCCGCACACCTGCCATGGACAATGACCCATCAGATGGTCGCAGGCCTGTGGTGGAAACATCCATGAGAACATCTGTCTGCTGAGGACTGTAAGCTCTTGTCTGTTATAAATCAGAGGGGGTTGGATGAATTTCATGGGGGAATATCTCCTCCCTAGGTACGAGACAAGCGGCATTGGAGAGGCACGGGTGAAGGAAGTGCTCCTGGACGAGGATGATGACCTCTGGATAGCACTGCGCCACAAGCACATCGCAGAAGTGTCCCAGTAAGAGCCCTTGCCTCCGCCCCTCCCCAGGGACCCCAGCCAGCCCACCACCCCAGCTCCAGGGCTCACCCCAGAGTACAGGGCGAAACCTTTCTCCAGATGGCAGTTGCTGATGTGCACACCCTGGGCAACTTGCGCAGAGCTGCTCAGTGGATGACTTCACAGCAAGCCGACTGTGCTGATGAATCCCTTCTAATCCCCGCCCGAGCCACACAAGCTTCACCAAGTGAGAAAACCCACTTTGCGTTCAGGTTGCTCTTTGTATTTTTAGGAAACATCCATGGCTCTCAGGAAATGCTTTGTAAACACTAAATGTTTAAAGCCAGTGCCTGGGGCGCCGGGCTGGCTCAGTCAGTAAAATATGCGACTCTTGACCTAAGGTTCGGGAGTTCAAGCCCCACGTTGGACATGGAGCTTACTTAAAAATTAAGCAAGCAAGCAAGCAAGGAAGCCAGTTTCTTCCATTGGAAGATCCAGATTTCACTGCATCAATTTGATTTTCTTTTATGATTTTCTTTTATATAGCTGATGGGTAATCTTCTTCCACTATTGTCATCCCTAAAATTTCCAAGCAAGAGCTGATGTGTATATATGGAACCTGTACCTTGCTCTGAAAATGTTTCAAACTCCTGAATTTTTTTTTTTTTTTTTTTTTTTTTAGATTTTGTTTATTTATTTGAGAGAGAGATTGCTCAAGCAGGGGTGGAGGGGCAGAAGTAGAAGGAGAAGCAGACTCCCCGCTGAGAAGGGAGTTCCACCAGACCAGTGTGGGGTTTGAGGCTAGGACCCCAAGACCATGACCCACCTACTGAGTCACTCAGGTGCCCCTAACACCTGAATGTTTTTAACACCAGATAACAATTCTGCTTTTGCAGAAAGACATTTTATTACATTGAGTTGGTGATATCCTCAGTAAATTCACAAGGAAGAATGGGAAAAGAACATAGCCTGGATAGTTCAGTTGTTCAGAAAAGTGGTCCCCAACTTTTTGGATCACTCAATCTTAGGAAAAGGTTGCTTCCTATTTCTAATATGCAAGTTTATTTATGAATTAAGTATATAATTAATTGTAGTAAAATATATGTTTTACAGTATATAGAAACATATGAATTTAAGAAGAATAGAGTAAAATAAACATAAGTAGATGTACTAATCATTTCTTCTCTCAGATAATCCCATGCACACACGCGCATGCACACACACACCCCTGAGACCCTGGTTTAGAATGTTAGTTAGGAAAGTGTTATGTCCCTCTCTCTCTTCTTCAGAAATCACTTTAAGGGGCACCTGGGTGGCTCAGTCTGTTAAGCGTCTGCCTTTGGCTCGGGTCATAATCCCAGGGTCCTGGGATGGAGCCCCACATCAGTCTCCCTGCTCAGTGGGGAGTCTGCTTCTCCCTCTCCCTCTCCCTCTCCCCCTCCCTATGCTCTCCTGCTCTCTCTCTGTCAAATAAATGAATGAAATCTTTCTTTTAAAAAATCACTTTAAGGGCATACCTTACTGGCAGGGAAAGTTGCCACATGTTCCTAAAGGAAGACTCACACTGCTTCTGTAGCATCGACGTGGAGGCCCAAGGTATTGCTGCAAAACTTAGCTGCCTCCTTTTGTCTTCTAGGGAAGTCACCCGTTCCCTGAAAGATTTTTCTTCCAGCAAGAGAATGAACACTGGAGAGAAGGTAAACACGTCATTTAGGCTAATCCTTGTCTTCTCTTTGGGAGCTGGCCGGCAGGGCGCCTCCTTGGCACAAGACTAGGGAGTTAGGGGGTCATCATCCCCTCTTTTTTTTTTTTTTTTTAAGATTTTATTTATTTATTTGACAGACGGAGATCACAAGTAGGCAGAGAAGCAGGCAGAGAGAGAGGAGGAAGCAGGCTCCCTGCCGAGCAGAGAGCCCGATGTGGGGCTCGATCCCAGGACCCTGAGATCATGACCTGAGCTGAAGGCAGAGGCTTAACCCACTGAGCCACCCAGGCACCCCGCATCATCCCCTCTTTATCTAATATCACTTTGTCTTATTTTTGCCTTCAAGGTTGAGATCAGAGCCTCCATCTTTTGATGTTTGTAGAGATCTTCATTTTGTTACTCTGCAGATTAATCTTCACTATTTTAGATCATAATTCCGTTTAAGCCAGAGAACCATGAAACCTTTTTTTAGCTTGTGGTAGAATTAGAACCCATAACTTTCCCAGTTCTCTCCTTACCCTGACTGTTCGTCAGAGGTGGCTTAGCCATCATGGTCAAGGCAAATACAGCTCTGATTGTGTCACTCCCTTGCTTAACACCATTTGGTGACTCTGTTCCCAGTAGAATCAAGTCTCACCCATGGACACACCTTACAGCACTGGGCCATCAGGTCTGCCCCCCACCCTCTTGCACCCACCACCTCGCTCCAGTCATGCCTGAGTTCCTTGCCTGGGCCTTGCCTTGTGAAGTCCTGGTCCTTAGGCTCAGGCATCATTTTCTCAGGAAAACCGTCCCCACTCCTCCCTGGACCAGTGAGGGGCCTCTATGCACCTATGCACCCACATTCGTGATTTTCTGAAGTTGGAATGGCTCCTCTGCTAGACGGTAGCTCTGCAAAGGCAAGAATTTCTCTTTTTTGTTTGTTTTGTTCTTGTATCTCCAGCACCTAACCTGGCATATAGTGGTAATTCAGTAAATTTTTGTTGGATAAGAGTGGAATTAGGTGGGTCACACAGTTTAGCAAGTAAACAGACCCCTTTCACCTGTCAAGATGCACATCTCAGCCTTTTCCCATCTTCTTCCTACCTGTCTACACAACTGTAGCCTTTCTGCTGGGATGAAATAGGAACTCAATTTCAAGACTGCTTGAGCTGAGTATGCAGAAAAGCAGCTCAGAGAAGATAAGTTGCTCTTTCCTGGCAAAAACTATGCTCTCAGTAACTTTCTAGTCCAATAAATAAAACATAATTGCTACACTTTGGAGTTCAGTTCCCCACCTATAAGATACTCATGGTATTTGGATCAATAATTTTTTGAACCAAAGGCCTGGAAATCCAAACCCTCAGTGATCTCAGGTTTAACAGATTCATTTTGAGAATTTCTGAGCATGCATTTGAGAAGTCTGGTGCTGGCTGCTCTCCTGCCCTGTGCCCACCACCCTTGCACAGCCTCTTAGGTCAAGGCCATTGGACTGAGATTATATATTTTCCTTCCCCTTGTAGACCACCATGCGGGACCTATCCCAGATGTTGAAGAAGATGCCCCAGTACCAGAAAGAGCTCAGCAAGGTATGACGATCCCAAATAATGGATTTGAATCTTGAGGATATCAACAGTTGCAATAAGACCTCTCAGAGCCCCACTGACTGATACATTGAAATCCACAGGTTTTTAATCAACTTCCAGTTTTATTAGGAAAAGCTGAAAGGCTGGATAGCTTATTTGCTATGACTTTCTTTCCTCCTCTTCATCTTTGTCTCTCTTTATCCTTCAATTCCTCACATCACAGGCCCCTACCCTGGGCCGCTTGAGTGTGCTCATGACATGGCAGCTGGCCTCCCCCAGCATGAGTGACCTGAGGGAGAGAGCCAGGAGGAAGTCACAGAGCCTTTTCCATCCTGACCTGAAGTGTCCTACATCATGTCCTCCACACTCTGTTAGAAGCAAGTCACTGAATCCCACTGATGCCCAAGGAGGGAGGAATTAAGCTCCACCTCCTAGAAGGAGGGCTAGCCAAGAATTCGTGGACACCTTGCAGAACCATCATACCACCCCACCCCCATAAAGGATTCCTCCCTCCACTTGCCTCCGTGAGAATGTAGTTTGTCCCCCTCTCTCGACACATAGAATTTTCTGTCATGATGTTTGCTTTCCTGCTGGAATGCACGTCTTATCCCCTTTATGAGGCTGGCATCTCCCTGTTACACTGCCTAGTGTTTATACGTAGTAGGAGCTCAGTAAATATTGCACAAGTCAGTGAGTGATTTCTTGATCACACATTCTCTGCTTTTTCCCAGTATTCGACTCACCTGCACCTGGCTGAGGACTGCATGAAGCATTACCAAGGCACCGTGGATAAACTCTGCCGGGTAGAGCAGGTAGGAACCTTTCCTTCTCTTTCTGCCATGCCCATTGACCCAGCTGAATTGTAACGTCTGACCTTGAACATCCTGCAGAATCATAGGATATAGAAGTCTTCTAGATCACGTTGTCTCAACTCTGGAGCCAATCAGTGCACTTCCGCTCTCAATGGTAGGGACTAGATTGGTCTGGAATGCTGTGTCATTTGGATTTTGCATGTCTGGCTTTCTACTGGCTCCCCGGAATGTCTAGAGAGATATATGGATCTCTGAGCCCTATACTGACAAGGCCAGCTGAGTTTTATATTCTGAGTGTATTTTTCTCCTGCCGCGGCCATACCAGCTTTGGAGACCTAGATGCTGTGGAAAGCTAGTGCAGTAGCATGTCAGAAACTCACCCACAGCCTCCCTGATCACAATTAGGACTGAAAATCAGCAGTTTGGGATGTGAGTTCTATCTCTGTCACTGATTTGTTTGATGTGCCTATTTCTGCTTTATTTTCCTCATCTGCAAAGGGAAATAACGATGTTGCCACATTTTCCAGGAGTGTTGTGTGGAGTCACTAAACTTGGCCTTCCGTTTTCCAAGTATGAGAACGTTCCTCAGCTAGGGTCAGCTGCTACGGCAAGGGAGGGCATTAAGTGAGCGTGAAGCCTCAGTGGGAAAGAACGGCTCGGGTTCTCAGTGTGAAGCTGAGATTTACAAATTCTGGCGTGATGTGACAAGCCAGCTTGGGTTTGTCGGACCTGTCCTGATTCACAGACGCTCTTCCAAGGGGAGGTGGCCCTGCGAGAGTCCATCAGTTTCAAGGGCAATCTTGGCAAGCACAGGATGTCCTCTCCAAAAGAACTGGATTGTCTGGAAATAGGGTATCCCTACATCAGTAAAAATGTGGTCAGGGTGAATCCTTGGCAAAGTACTTTTTTTCGGAAGTGCTCCATAGTATTTGTTGAACTTGTTACATTGAAATGGCCCTTTAGAGAGTATTGGACTCGGGTCCCGCTAAACAAACGTCTTTGAGGCTGGTGGTAGCTCTGAGAGGTGAAGGGGCCTGGGGGCGCTCACCTTCCTCAACCTGGACAGACCATGAACTCGAGACCGAGACGGTTATGGACTCGTGGGGTCTTAGAGGCAGGAACCTTCATGAAGGCCAGCCCTGTCCGGGCTCCAGGGGGAGTGGCAGCCGCCAGTCTCTGAGAACAGAGTGAAGGGTTCTTGGTTTGCTGAGGCCAGTGTGCCGCCCTCTCTGGCCCCTCCACAGCGGATCTGACTGTTGCCCGAGTCCTGAAGCAGGGCATCACTGTGCTCTCTCTTGTCCTCCTTTTGCCAGCCCCTCTCTCCTTCTTCATCTGCCTGGGTTGGATTTGCGGTTCAGGAGTCCTTGTTTTCTTTCTCGCCCTAAAAGTGGTTGGAAGATTAAAAACAGGTCAAAAACCTAGAGTAGCTAAAACTCAAAAAGCGTATCTTGCAGCGCCAACGGGGAGCATGGGAAGAGTCTAGCCCGGCAGCGGCCCCTTAAGATGCCAAAGCTTGTCCAGTGTGCGAAGTGCAGCTCTTTCAGCCCTGATCCCTCAGCAGGGCTTTGTACATCTAGAGGCCCCACCAGGATTGAGGCTTGACCTGAGGAGTCGGCGCAGGTACGCTGCCACTCACCCGGAGGGAGCTGCCTGCCTTCAAAGACGGCAGAAAAAATCACGGTGGTTTCTGTTTTTGCAAAGTGAACCCTGGGGCTGTCAACACTTCTCACTGGCGCCGTAGGAAACAACGCTGATGACGCCGGCGCTGAGGATGGGGCGTCGTGACAGCAGAAGCCCCTGCATAGGACCTTCCCCAGCCAAGGGACAAATCCCACTTACGGACCACCAACTGTCTAATAGTTCCCATCCATCCAGACTGTCACCACGAATGGGGCCAACGTCGTGTGTTTTCTGCAGGACCTGGCCATGGGCACAGATGCTGAAGGGGAGAAGATCAAGGACCCCATGAGAGCCATCGTCCCCATTCTGCTGGATGCAAATGTCAGCACTTACGACAAAATCCGCATCATCCTTCTCTACATCTTTTTGAAGAATGGTAGGAACGGTGGGATAGAGAAGAGGGGAGAGGCCCTTCCTTGGGCAAACGAGGCAGGTGGGAGAGAGAAGACAAAGTAGAAAAGTAGTTTAGGAGACATGGAGAGGGGATTTAATACGGAGATCCTGGGGGCTCTTTACCCTTGGGGAGATGTAAGCAAATGAGTTGCAACTGGAGGCAATGAATTCTAGAGGGAATAAAGCTGTGGCATCCGTGGAAGGGATGGGTGGGAGCAGGGAGAGGCCACCGACCGCAAAGCTAGTTTGTGAGGGCACGTCTGCCAGATGCTTGCATCACATTGGTAATCTCTGCCTTTAAATAACTGATTTTTACCCACATCATAGTTGCCCAGAAGTGTCTGCTGTGCAGGAGATGGACACTGAGACTCTTGACTTAAGTGTGGGTGGGGTGGGCAGGGGTGGCTGGGAACCAGGAGACAGATGGAAATATAGACCATAATGGGGCAGTTGCCGTTGGTCATAGCCTGGGACAGAGTGGCTAGAATGGAATCGAAATGTTGATTTTTGTCCTCATCTTATAGTAAAGTTGATGTGGTGAAGATTCATTTCTGGTAACTCTGAGAAGAATGGGCACAGTCCCCCCAGGTGATCGGCTCTGCTTCTGTGTGATGACAGTAGCCAGGTGCGGTGACCAGGGGTTTCGTTCTCACAGGCATCACTGAGGAGAACCTGAATAAACTGATCCAGCACGCCCAGATCCCCCCAGAGGACAGCGAGATCATCACCAACATGGCTCACCTGGGGGTGCCCATCGTCACTGATGTAAGGGGCCAGCCTTGCCTATGGGGAGGGAGAGGCAGAAGGGAAGCTGGCGTGTCTTATCTATTCTCCCCTGATTTACTTAAGGCGACTTGTGATACACTCAACAGAGAGAGAGAGAAAGCATAAAATTGGAGGGAATAAAGGCATAGAGATGTACTAAAATAGAAGTGTAACTCCCAGAACCAAGATTTGCACAGAGCCATTAAAGCTGAGCTGTGTCTGAAACCAGCCCCAGTCCCGCCAGCTTCATCCTCTGGGTCTTGAGGTCAGTCTGGCTCGACCTTTGCACACCCAGGTCCAGCATCTTCTGCGAGGGCAAGAACACGATGTTTAGCGTCAAGCAGGTTTGCCACTTGGTCCTTCACTGGTGATGATTCAGAACCAGGCCAGGGCAGGGTGTCTGAGAAGCCCAGCCACACAGCACAGGGACTCCAGAGCTGGAGGAGGAGGCCTGAGCCCTCTCAGAGCTCTCTGCTAGGAACCTCAGTGTATAGCTCCTTCCTATGGGGAGTCAGTCACACAGCAGTGCCCTAAAGCTGGAGTTGCAAATGTACTTCATTTGGAATCTTAGAGTCAAAAACTTTGTCCCGGAGCCCAGACCAGAGACCTAGAACTGGACATAGTTCGGTGTTTTTAGACCTTTGTTCACAAGAGGCACCCAAATAGGAGTGGAGATGGTTTACTTGTGCACCTGGACTGTTGAAGCAAAATCAAAGACCAAGTCCTATCTAAAGCAGTATTTTCTCCTATAATTAAAAGCAAACTATGGGGGCGCCTGGGTGGCTCAGCGGGTTAAAGCCTCTGCCTTCGGCTCAGGTCATGATCCCAGGGTCCTGGGATCGAGCCCCGCATCGGGCTCTCTGCTCAGCAGGGAGCCTGCTTCCCTTCCTCTCTCTGCCTGCCTCTCTGCCTACCTGTGATCTCTGTCTGTCAAATAAATAAATAAAAATCTTAAGAAAAAAAAAATAAAATAAAATGGTAATTATAGGTACTTTAAAAAAAAATAAAAAAAAAATAAAAGCAAACTATGTTTACAACAATCAGGATTTTTTTTTTCAAGATTTTATTTATTTTACAGAGATGGGAGGCAGGGAGAGAGTGTATTTGCCAGTTGGGGGAGGGGCAGACGGAAAGGGAATCTCAAGCAGACTCCCCGATGAGCACAGAGCCTGATGTGGGGCTCAATCCCATGACCCAGCCACCATGACCTGAGCTGAAACCAAGAGTCAGATGCTTGACTGACGGAGGCTCCCGGGGCCCCACTACCGGGATTTATTTGAATGCCACTTATATGTTTGATCTGCATTTGCCATTTTTAATGGCTTTAAAGAGCCAAGTTTGCTCCAAGTTCTTGGGCAAAAGCCTAAGGGGCACATGCTGAAATTTCCCAGGAAAACCCCTCCCACTTTGTACTCTGCCAGTGCTGACTCTCTGAAGGAGTCCTTAGGAGCAATTTCCAAGGGCCAGCTAAGTCTCAGGGGCCCAAATGATCCAGGACTCCATCTGATCTCACATGTGTTTGCCCTCAGTCCACACTGCGTCGCAGGAGCAAGCCAGAGCGGAAGGAGCGCATCAGCGAGCAGACCTACCAGCTCTCGCGGTGGACCCCGATCATTAAAGACATCATGGAGGTCAGCAAGGGAGGGCTGTGTGGGTGTGGGGGCGATAGCCAGGGCTGGGGCTCTTCACGTCCAGGCCTAGAGGCCTGCAGCTTCACCTGCTGTGGGGCGGCGGGGATAGCCTGGGTTTATCTGTCCAGGAGGATTTGTATCCGGTCTTAGGGCTCTTTTAGGCCCCACAGCCTTGTCCTGAGGGTTTAGGAAGAGGCTACCAGATGCAGACCCCCATGACCCCTATGACATAGCCCCATAGTAGAGACCCCTCGATGGTGCTGTATCCAAAGAACCAAACACATCCCAGCATGTACACGTCAGATGGGTAGCAGGTGCCCCTCCAAGGGTGCGGGTGTGGAGTGGCCTTAGGGATGCCACCTGAGCCAGTCCCTCCCTAAGACTCCCCGTCAGTCAGGGACCCCGCAGCATGTTTCTGCCTCTGCTCTTCTGTTCACATTTGTCCCTTGCCTGTGGTGCTCTCCCTCTCCACTTCTGAACCCTGCCTTCCTTCAAAGTCCCCGTCCGGTCTGACTGTTCCCATACACTGCCCATCTGACCGCCCAGCACCACAGAGGCTGCCCCGGCCTCCTGTAGTGTGTGTCAGGGATACCCTTTACGTATATGTATCCATTCAGTGTTTGGCGTCAGCTTTTTATACCTTGGCCTCTGCCCTCACCTCGTGTCCTTTGGCTCTGTGCCTTGCATATAGTATGTGTTTCATATTTGTGAATGTGAATTGTCCTTCTGCTCTCTGCTTGTAGCTCAGAGAAACCCTGCTTAGAATCCTGCCCCATAGATCTCTGGTGTGGGTCTTGGAGCTACGCTGTCCAGCTCCTGCTCTCTGTAGGTGGACAGGACTGGGGTCCTGACAATGAAGGGACTTTCCCAGAATTCCTTTGTCAATTCAAGCAGTCCATGTTCCTGCTGACTTATATGTTAAAATAAGTATATTTTAAATATATGTACTGAGTCAACTTCCTATTTTTAAAACCCACAATCCAAAAGGATGGGTGAACATGAACATCTAGAAACCAATTACATTTCTTTGCAATGTAATTAAAGCCCACCCCTCTGTCTCATTTGCGCCTTTGTTCTCTGCTCCCTTTTCCAGCCCCTCTCCCCAGCCCCCTGAAGACATGTGTAGGCTTCACATGGTAGCTGTTAAGAGGAGTGGAGATTTCTAGGCAGCCGGAGGTGCATAGCTGGAATCCACCCACCACATAATTAAACCCTTGGAAAACTGAAGGTGTAAGGTTTGGTCTTGCCTGTGAGATTCTGCCTGTGCCTAGTTTCTACAAGACTGAAGGCAAGTGTCAGGATTTTTTTGGACAGAATGCAGCATTCGTACCTCACATAGAATATAAAAGAAAAAGAAAAAACAGAAGAGAAGCAAGGAAAATTAATGTGGTCTGGTTTTGCTTAAGGTGATTTTTTAAAATAATCTCTGCACCCAACATGGGCCTTGGATTCAGGACCCCAAGGTCAAGAGTCATCTGCTCTTCCAACTGAGCCAACCAGGCTCCCCATTGCAGTTTTTATTTTTTAAACTTCTCTTAAAGAAGCAGACCTGCAGACTGATCTCAGTGCACCAGCCTGTTGTAGAGCGTCTGGCCCTGCAGAGCACAGCGTGAGGCATCTGCAGCGGGCAGCAGGGCGGGGGAGCTCTGGTCGTTGCAAACTTGGCCGAGTCACTGTGCTAAGTGACTTGTTCTTTGAATCATCTTGCCTTGGTTCTGTCAGCCCTTCTCAAACAAATGGCAAAATCCAAATATCTGTCTCTTTTCTTTCCAGGACACTATTGAAGACAAACTTGATACCAAGCACTACCCTTATATCTCTACGCGCTCCTCTGCCTCCTTTAGTACCACCGCAGTCAGGTGAGTGAGAACCCTGAGCCAGCGAGGGGGAGAAGTGGGACCATCTCTGGTACATGGTCAGCCACACGGTAGTCCTGTTAGGAAGCAGCGGTATCCACAAGAACCCTCCCACTGCTTCTCATCACAGTCAGAGTGCAGGCCCTTCACCCTCCGGCTCCCACTCCACTCTGACTCATTCCTTACTCCTCCCTTCATTCTCTCCACTTCTGCCATGCTAGCTTCCTTCTCTGCACACAGGCTTGCTTCTGCCTCAGGACATTTGCACTTGCTTTCCCCTCTGCCTGAAATGATCTGTCCCCAGTATATTTACGTGGCTTGCCCCTTATCTCCTCCACCTTCCTTAACTATCCTTTTAGACATTACACTACACCAGTGTTCCTAGCTGCGCTATTCATAATAGCTCAAAAGTGGAAATGACCCGAATTTCCATCAACAGATAAATGGGTAAACAAAACATGGTGTGTCCATACAATGGAATATTATCCAGCCAAAGAAAGGAATGAAGCACTGACATGTGCCACAACGTAGGTGAAGCCTGGAAACACTATATGAAGTGTAAGAAGCCAGTCACAAAAGTCCACACATTGAAATGTCCAGACTGGGCAAGCCTATAGAGACAGAAAGTAGATAAGTGATTGCTGGGGATTGGGGGCAGGCATTGGGGTGGGGGAATGGGGAGTGACTGCTAATGGGTATGGACTTTCTTTCCGGGGTGATGAAAATAGCCTGAAATTGACTGTGATGGTCCATGGTTCTGTGACTGTACTGAAGACCACCGAATTGCACGTGCCGAATGAGGGAATTGTAGGACGTGAATTATCTCTCAGTAAAGGTGTTACAGAAAATAAAGAAAAAAAGTGCTAGCCTCCCCCCAGTACCTCGTCTCCCCCGTTCCTTTTCTGTCCACTCCATAGTTTAAACCAGCACGTCATAAAGTGTTTGCGTTTCTCTTGTTTACGGCCAATCTCCCCCAGCTCGAACGTCAGCCTCGTGAGGGTCAGGATTTGTGTTGCTAAAACAGAGCCTGGTGCAAAGTAGGTGCTCAGTGTATTCTGCTTTCACTTGTGATGAGTTACTTCTAGAATTAATTAAGAAGGGGATGAACACGTGGTCTGCACAGAGCTGCATTTCTCTGAATAATTCTTGATGGATACGTAGATGATGGAAGTGTGGATGCCTTGGGTTTACTGGGTTTCTGTCACGCACCTGGTGATGCTCAAATGTTTCAGCTTGGAGATGGGAGTAGATCGCAATCCATGCTTCTTTCCCTGGGTTCTCCAGCGCTCCATTTTCTTGGTCACTCACGGCATCTTCCAGGGTCTGTTTTCAGAAGCGTCTCCTCTTTTTCCCCTCCTTGCCAAGCCTCGGGAAGCCTTTCCTGCTTTGCTCTCTGATGAGCCTTGAAGGTTTTTCACCTCCAGGCTCCTCTTGGCCTCTTTCATACATGTGGTCCAGGCTGTTCCCTGACCCAGAACAGCACCTTTCCTGGGGTGGCAGCCGGCCAGGGTGCCGCTGTTTTTCTCCAACAGCGAGAGCCTGGAGTGGCTCCTGGCAACTGCCCGTGACCACCTGAGCTTGGAACAGGAGCTCGCAGCTCCTAAGAGGGTGTGCCGGGGCCCTGGAGTAGCACGCCCTGCCGGATGAACTCCCCGTGCTCCCTGCTCATGCTCTGCCTGCCCGTCTTCTCTCTTGCCTCCCAGCCCTCACTTTCAGACCTCTCGGGCCGAGGCTGGAGGCCTGCGTGGCCCCTGTGGCATTGCGCGTCCCCTCTGACACCAGTGGAGGCCGGATGTTGATTGCCAATGTCGGGGTGAAATTCAAAATTTCCCGGTAGTGCCGCAGCGAGGCGGGCTGACGATGGCAGACTGTCAAAGGATTCTCTCTCTGGGTTGACCCCCGGCACCTTCAGGATTGGAGAGTGACTTTAATGCTATCAATAGTCCGGGAGAAGGGTGGAAATTTCAGTAGAGACTCGCTCTCCTTGTTTTGCTTTTTGTTTTGTTTCCCCCATTTTCTTAACCTGGAAGCAACTCATTTCTCGTTGTTTCTGAGGACAAGGTGAACACTTTCTAAGAGAAGCCCAGGGGCGGGAGAGCCCCTCTGGGAACCGTCCCACCACTGAAATGCCTTTCAGGGGCAGCTCAGTGTCACATCTCCTGGGAAGACTTCTCCAGTGAGGCCCGAATGGTGCTAGAAGGCCCTCCCCTGTGTGTGTCCCGGTAGCACTGAGCTCCTCGGTACCACGATCCCAACCTGCTTCCTCCTCCACACCCACCCCAGTTAAGCTGCGAGCTCTTGGTGGGCACAGCTGAATCTCCCTCGGGTCGCCACCCCAGTGCTAGGGGAGACCGTGGCCCGGTGAGGTGCTCAGTGCGTAAATCAGCATGCCAACCTGAAGACGGCCCTTGACTCCGTCGTCACTGCTCACTGCCAGTGGAGTGTCCCAGACAAGCCCAGAAACCCGTACGCTCGAGAGCAGAAGCCCATCAACCACCGTGAGGGGCGAAGCTGTGGGATGTAACACGTCAAACTTTAAAGCTATCTTGAGCCTGCCTGTTGCCTACATGTTTCCAAGAGGGTGACAAGCTCACAGCATGGGCCACCAGACCCTTTGATAACATGCACAGTGGCTCAGCTGAACCAACACTTCTACTACTCTGTTTCGGTCACTGGTGTACAGACGAATGTATGAATAAGTCATTGAGGTATGGAATACTAAATACTTCAGTGCAGATAAACATAATTAATCTCTTTCTTTCCCTCTCTCTCCCTCCCTCCCTCCCTCTCCTCTTTTCCCTCTCCCCCGGACCCCAGCGCCCGCTATGGGCACTGGCATAAGAATAAGGCCCCAGGGGAGTACCGCAGTGGTCCCCGCCTCATCATTTTCATCCTTGGGGGCGTGAGCCTGAACGAGATGCGCTGTGCTTACGAGGTGACCCAAGCCAATGGAAAGTGGGAAGTGCTAATAGGTGAGTGGGGGCATGTACTCCAGACGGAAGGGGCTGCTTCATCGCACTCTGACCCATTCCATGCTTCGGTGTTTCATGCTGTCTTCGATTCTCCATTGCCCCTGCAAAACTTAGTCTCTAGACACGTTTGTGGACAGCCGCAGCTACGGGGCCAAGGGCTCTTTCCTTGTGTCTGCACCGGGTCTCGTGATGAGAGGCGGCTGCCAGCAGTGGGAAGCGCCAGATCACAGACTCCAACACACCCCGGCTCCCGTCCCTGCTCGGCCACTGCCAAGTGGGTCACCTTGAGCAAGTGCCCCACCTCTGGGTAGACCGCAATTTCCTTACCGAACCCAACGGGGTTAAGAACACCCACTTACAGCCTTACGCTGAGCCTGAGGTGGGACTTTGCATTTTCCTAGCATTGGGCCTCATATCCGGAAGACGCTCAGTGAATGGAAGGTAAATTTTCGCCGCCTCCTTTACGTGTCAGTTGGAGACGGACAGACACAGCGTGAGAGCAGATATTGCCCGAAACATACTGGCCTGACTGCCGGACTCTGCGAAGGGGCCCCGCCGCCTTACAGTTCCTACCACTTCTAGGTCGGCCGTACCCTTTCTTGTGTTTCCTTTCAAGAAGAAAGGAAACAACTCATTAGAGCTGAATTAAGGCAGCGGAAGACTTTACTCCTTTCCATAGTTTCTAGGGCTGGAAGGAGAAGAGTAAGCGGAGAAAGATCATGCTTTCTCTAAATGCCTTTTTTGGCCCCATGTTGCCCTTAACAAAATGGATTACACCTGCCCAGGGTGCCTCTTGACCTTGATTGACTAAAGGCTGTCAGCACATACTGCCCTGGCCTTTCCCTCACCTCCACAAGCTGTGTCTGTTTTACACCTCTGCTTGGGGGCAACCCAGTCACAGTGCCCCCAGCTCTCAGAGTGACCAGGTTCTGCAGACCAGTCCATGTGGCCATTCCTGGGTGTGTCAAGATGGACCTCGCACTGTCAACCCCCTTTCTAGAGACCACCATTCAGTGGAGAGATTGGACATCCTCTCCTTGCCCTCCCCATTCCCTGGAACTTCCCCACCTGGTCACCACTTCTCCCTGTACCGTTTTCTCCTTTTTGTTACATGGACCCCGTGATAAAGCTCTCTCTCTCCTACTCGTGTGTGTGTGTGTGTGTGTGTGTGTGTTGCATGCACACGTCTGATAATTTTCAGCTCAAATGCAGCTTTCCTGGGCAGAAGCTGTCACAGCCAGGCTTTGATGTAAATCCCCCACTTCGACTTTGGCCCTGACTGGCAGTTCCCTGTTGGGGGGCGGAACCCCGGGGAGAGAAAGTTGCCCTGATTCGCGGAGCAGCCTTGCGCAGACAGCGGACGTCCGCAGCGCGGCCTCACCTGCTTTGTGCATGCCGGCTGTCCTTGAGGCCTGCGTGCGCGTGCGCGTGCGCGTGCTCGCGTCCTGCTTTCTTGTACCTCATTGGCTGCATAAAGCGTAGGCCTGAGTTGGCATGTGCCCGTGACGTACCGTTGTTCAAGCAGTCAGCTGGACTCTGTTCTCCCGCAGGTTCTACTCACATTCTCACTCCCACCAAATTTCTCATGGACCTGAGACACCCCGACTTCAGGGAGTCCTCTAGGGTATCTTTTGAGGATCAGGCTCCAACAATGGAGTGAGAGCCAAAGAAACAAAGTAAAAGCAGCTTATTACAGAAAAGAAACTCTTCCACTCCGAAGGGTTTTCTTTGATTATTCCGTCACACTTTTTCTTTCTTTTTCCCTTTTTAGTTTATTTATTTGATTTTCTTTCAACAAGAAAATGCTTGCAGTTCTTAACACCGATTGAAAATGTGTCCGGTGCTGCCTTCACAGACCCTGCCGCGAGAGCCTCTGGGCCCCGGCCTGCCAGCTCACTCGGGCCCTGCGTCACCCGCTGCTCAGTCAGGCAGTGCCGCCCCCTGGGTTTTAATCCGAAAGTGCTCGTAACTGCTGCGACCAGTCCTTCAGTGGAGCTGAAGCTGAGGGGAGCCGGGGGATGGGGACCAGGCAGGGAACACATAGCATCCTGCCTTTGCGGGTGGGAACTAGAGCGTGAGGCCTGCAGGCGTTCGAGGGGCCATCCTCCGAAGGCAGAGGTCCAGTGGAGACATCCGCGGGCACCTGAGCATGAAGGAGGCTCGTTGGAGCGCGTCAGAGCGCGTCAGAGTAGACTCCACGTCAGTGGTGGTTAGACCCGGAAAGTCTTTTTCCCAGGACAGGCACTCAGCTCGAGGAACAGTTTCTAAGCGGTGATGGTGTCATGAGCCACTGTGTACGTGGTGAGCCCCAGCCGCCACTGGAAAGCTCAGCTCTCGTGTTGGTCTGGGGGAAACGGCCCTTAGCAGTCACTTACTCTTTCAGTAATTGCTTGTATTTTCATTCTCCTGTGGATTTTTCCCAGAGCTGAGTCATCTTACCCCTCTCTCGCACTGAAGTCTCTTAGTGAGATCTGAGAACCTTTCGGTTAAAACCCGTTCCTCACACAGTGTGCTGTTTGAGGGAGTGTGTCTTCTCTCTCCCACACGCTTGTGCCTTTACCTGTTACCCAGGAAGCCCGTGTCTGTCTGGGAGGCTATCCAGCTTTTATTCCTGTCCTCATTCCCTCCTCCCTCTTGCCATCCATCCCGTGTGTTAGGAACCGCCTCTGGTGTGTTACATGACAGACGGTTCCTGAAGAACTCCACTGTGGCATTAGTCACTCTGTGGCTTTCGTATGCAGTCTGGGATGAGGCCACACTCTGTGTGCCTGACTTCGTGCACTCCACTGACGGTGTCCCCGGACCCCCCACACCCCCCACCCGGGCTGAGATGTGGCCCAGAGAGTCGAGCAGTGGTGAGGCCTGGACCCGAGCCCACCTGTGGGACTGTAGGAGGTCCCGTCTCCACACACTCCACCCCACCCCCCCGCCCAGGCACACAGTGTGCAGAAAGGAGAGAGGCTGGATCGCAGGGCCCCAGGCGCCTCGAGCTCTGACCGTCTAATTCAGTAATTCAGCTCGGGGGCCTCAGCCTGCAGGCCCGCACTCACGCGTTTGCGGTCCGATGAACTTCCGGGCACGGGGCCATCGGGACCATAACCAGGGAGCACCGGAAGCGTGCTTGTTTGTATGCAGAGAACGTGCTCGGGCCAAAAAAGGACTCGCTCTAAAGGTCAGAACAGGCAGCTGTGCCGCTTCTCTGCTCTTTCCTCCCTGTGGCTGAGCGGTGGCTCCCCCGGGCAGCAGCAGGGGAGGAGCTGCCGGTGGGATGAGCCTGCACGGCCCTGGCTCTGGGCTGCCTCCCGTCCTGCCCTGCTGCCTTCCCCTAGAAAGTGCAGCCAGTAGGTGGTGAATTAAAGCAAATGTTAAGAAATAGTCATTGTTTAAAAAAAAGTCATTGTTCAGAAGAAGTACCTTGGTCGGTTGGTAATCAGAGACATGTGGTTCCGCGCACAGATGGCGGGGGGGCGACCGGCATTCGCTGCAGGATGTATTTTAAGACTTGCAGGACAGACGCCGAGTCCGGCTGCAGCAGTGGCAGATCCCTTACAGGGTCTGAAAGACTCCAACGCAGATCCCAGGCGCTCCCGCTAGGATTCGCTCTGGGAGTCCCTGCTTCAGAAGCAGCCTGTCCCTCGCAGGCTGGTTTCCTCTGCTTCGTGTTCAGTCAGCACAGGGGATCCTGGCTGCTGTCTGAGCAGAGAATACGAATAGACTCGAGTTGTATACTCTTGGCTTCTGGAATGCTTTTGGGGGGGGCAGTGTGGTGTTTTAGCGTTCCGTTAGGAAAAGGCAAGACAAGGAGCCCTGATCCTGGGGAGGTCGGAAGGCAGGTAAAGATAGCCCTTGCCCCCTTCTGTTGTGATTATGCGGGTGACCAAAGACGAAGACACAGCAGGACAGGCGAGGGCCGGGGTTGTCTCCTGTCAACGTCAATGTCTGCAGGGACTTAGCTTCTAAGAGATGAGTTTTCCCGCTCAGCAATGGGTCAGGGTGTCCCTGGCGGGCCCCGCTTGTGGCTACCAACGCCCACTCGGTCCTCTGGTGCCTCTCTTCCCCAGGTGCCGGTTGAAGGGAGCTGGTATGGTTAGCCGCAGTGCCCAGATGCCCCCAAGACTCACCTTAATCCCTGTAGTTACTCGTCTCTCCATGTTGTCCAGAAGTGAAGTCTTTGCATTAGACCATCACCCCCAGCTCTGGGGGGTTATGTTAGAAGTAGCAATCCTGAGGGACTGTCCAAGGCGCCGTCCGAAGCCAGTGGAGGTGCTCTGAGAAGGTGTTACACAGCACTTGCCCTTGGGAAAAAGTTTTTGTTTTTTTACATTGAATGTTTTACTTTATTCCCAATTGGAGTCAAGTCTCATTTTTCAGTGGGACTCAGATTTGAATGTGAATTCAGAGCCAGCCCATCGCCCAGATGCTCTTTAAGCATTCACTTGCATGTCCCCTGCCAGGGCCAGGAGCCCAGGTGCCCAGAGCTGAGACCAGTGGCATGGGTTCTGGGCCTGGCCGTGCCACCGAAGGGCCGCAGAGAAGCACTCACTTAGGGCTTCATTCTCCCATCTTTAGGATGTGGAGTGGACCAGAGCTTGGTTCCCAAGCCTGGCAGATCGTCGGACTCCCCTGGGTTGCTCTTAAATATACACATTGCCTGGTGCCTCCCTGGGTCGTGTGGGTTGGTAGGTCCGTTTTGGCCAAAGCCGGGAATGCCTAGACCAGCCGATCTCTAAGAACACTCTGAATTTCAGATTCTCTTAGGAAAGATCTTGTCCTGGCAGAACTCACTGTGTCTGGCCCACAGCGCTGCCTTCGGGGTGACTGTGTTTGGAGACCAGCATTCAGATTTCTCAGTCTTGCGGTTACAGAGCATAAGAGGGACCCTCAGAGCAGTCGACCCCCCCTTGCGGTTCTGGAGGGTCTCCCTGGTCAGCTTCCCCGGGGTTCAAAACATGGGTTTGCAGCGTGTGGGTCACAGGGTCACCCAGCTCCGTGTGCAGAGTTTGTGGTGGTGAGAATCTTGACCAAGGTATTAGAACAATACAGGTGATTGGGTGACAAGAGTTAGCTCTCAGGTGATTCAGATTAACACCGGCCAGTCTTAAAGACACCCACTGAGTCCGGGCCCAGGAATTCCCAGGCCTGTTGCAGAGAAACTTCTCTCAGTCAGACTGGGAACACCAGATGGTCAGCTATCAGATAGTAGAAAGCTCTGGGAGCATGGATTCCTTAACCCTTTTCGGCGTCCCTCAGATCTCGAGTTTGCACGTAAGCAAGGCAGGGACCGTTCTGGGATGGGCATCTGACCAGAGCCTCCCTTTTGATTTTTCCAGTAAATCGAGTCTTCTGCCCTGTTTCCTGGAACTCAGATGGATGGTGTCGGGGGTGGGCATTAGGGACGGTTTCTCTGGCACGTGCACTCTTACTGCCTTTACCTGGAAAGACCCCAAGTTAATCTCTGCACAAAATACCCAGAGGCTTTCTAGATGTCAGACGCACAGACTGCGTGGAGTTGAGATTTGGAAGGCCCTCGCTCTGGCAGTGGTTCTCTGTTAAGGATTTGGCACTGTTTTCTCACTCGGGGAGTAGCCTTTGACCTTCTTTAGGACACCTAGGAAGATCAGTAAGGTTGCAGAAATGAGTCTGCTTTTTGGTAGCTTTGAGGGAGATCTGCAGAGCCATGGGTCAGCTTTCGAGGGCAGGGGCTGCTGCGGGCTATACGTCCTCACTCGGGGCGGTGACAGGTGGCTAGGGCTTGAACTATTGTGGATGGGACGTTGGAAGAAGGCCCTCATGCCAGAAAGGGCTTTCCAAGTTTGCTGCCGGTCTGGATGGACCAGGCAGGCAGGTTCAAGGCCTGCAGTCCCAGCAGTCACGGGTCAGCTGAGCACAGAGTGGTCGAAGGCACAGGGACCCTGGTACTTGGAATCACCCCCAACCAGCCAGCCAAAGCCTTCTTTTGCTCACCCTCAGGGTGGAAATCTGGCCCCTGCAGTTTCTGTCCCCACCCCCACCAGGCCCACGCCCTCGCCCGCACCTCCAGGGGGGCACATTTTCAAGTACGGCTCTTTTGTTCAGTTCTCTCCCACCGGGACCTCTTTCTTTGAAGCCCGCTGCTGCATGTGTGCCGGCCTCATGTTCACACACCGGTCACTTCTGTTCTGTTCCAGTAAAGTCCATGTCCAAGCCACACGGTCCATGCATCTTTTTTTATTGCACTTCTTAGCTCTCTCTCTCTCTCTCTCCTTATGAAAAAGGACTTCATTTATTTATTTTATTTTTTTATTTTTGCAGTAGAAGTATATCTAATTCCATTAGCTTAAGTTTTTTGCAAGCATTTCTAATCTCTTACAATGTGCGGTCTCTGCAAGGTAAGGCCTCAGGTACCCTGGCCCTTTCCCTTTCACGCCTGAGGTCCCACCCGCGAGGGCAGTACCAGCCCGCTGGCTTCCAGAGGTCAGTGGCTTCCCCCAGGGTGCCCTGCCCATCACTCTGTCCCTAGCAGGCACCATCCTTTCCACACACAGCCCCCTACCACCCCGCCCCCTTCCCAGCCTTCCCCCTGCCAAATGGTTTGGAATTCCTCTCCCTGGCTTCACCTCGAGTGCAACAGAGAATCAGAAATGCAGCCACCCCGTCCCCTGGCTGATGATGCTGAGCCCAGACGGAGAGGCGGGTTCCTTCCTTGGTATAGCCTGGGGCCCTGCCTGAGCCAGAGGATGTGTTTTATTTATCTACAGCCCCCAAATGTCTCCTAGGCCTATTGTGATGTGGCCCCAACACCCCACCCCTGACCCCCTCCCTGCTTCCTCTAGACCAAGGGTGTGGGTGGGGGAATGGGTGCAGAGCTGGGGAGCGGAGAGCAGGAAAGCAGACGCGGTGGGAACCAGAGCCAGCAAGCTCACTGTCTTTTCTGCCCCCCCAGGATCCACGCACATTCTCACCCCACAGAAACTTCTGGACACGCTGAAGAAACTGAATAAAACAGATGAAGAAATAAGCAGTTAAAAACATAAGCCTCCCCTCCAAAAAACGAACCCTCTTCCCACAGTGCTCCACAGCCCCTACCGCTGCCCGCCTCGGTTACTTTGCTGACCCCGTCCCTCCACTGCCTCCCCCAGCTCTGCACGCCCTGGCCGGCACTGTCGCCGCTGCGTTCTCGTGTTTAATGATGCCCTCTTCTTGTGTGAAACAAAAGAAAATAATGCATTGTGTTTTTTAAAAAGGGTATCTTCTATATGTGTCCTAAGAGGAGAAGTTCCCGCGTAAGGGACACGCTGCTGGAGAAGTTGTAGAACTTTCTAGAATGAATGGACACCTTCTTCCCATTATTATGATTCCATGACCTTGTATATAACCCAGTGCGACATGCGCAAATTGCTTGAGTATGGGAAGGTAGACGTTTGGGTGTTTTACAAAATCCGTTTTGGGCTGTTCCTGGTTTTTTTTTCAGGAATCACAGAGATGTCTGTTCCTGGAATATTTCAAACTGAGGATTAATCTGTTGGCTTCACTCTAGTTCTTACCCCCTCAGCCTGCTCTCATCCAGATAAACTTAGCAGTGAAGATCAGGTGACATCTTGTGAGGTTCGAGCTGGAAGAGACCTCTTAGTCTTCCCCAGTGGCTTACCATCCCTGTGCTGGGGCTGTGGGAGGGGCTGGAGGTGTTCCCATGAAGTCAGGCCCAGTGCTGGGCTGCCTGCCCGCAGCCTGTCACCGCTCCCTGCCCCACCCCCCACCTTTACAGCCTAAGTCACAGTGCCCAGCGAGTGTGGAGCAAGTCCCACCAGGACTTTTGTCTCTTGGAGAAGCAGTTAGGCTGGGCTTTTTGGCCAGACCCTTTCCTTCCCCGGGCACTACCCCCGACAGAACTCCTCTTTCTCAGTGGGGTCAGCACAGGCGGAGCCCCAGGTGAGGAATGAACTAGAACGGAATCTGAGCAGAGGGCCCTTTCCTGTAGACAAAGGTCTATGCCCCTAAGACTTCAAACCCCCAGAAAAACAGCCCATTGGATTTATGCAGACCCTGTTCCCACTCAGATTATCCTCAGTTTAAGATGCTTCATAATACATTATTTTGTGTCGTGTGGGGTCATACGTCATCATGCTTATAAGAGAAAATGATCATTTTATTCTCTGTATAAAACTTAGCTCTAAAGCAAAAATGAAAGAAGCAAACGCAGAAAGGATGTCTCGTCATCCTCCAGACTCAGCAGCTCTCCGTTCTCCAATGGTGAGCGCACCACATGTCCTGCTGCTGGTGTCGCAAAATATGACAGTGGAAGTCACAAAAATGTCCCCTGCCCAGCCCCCCGCTGCCCTTGAGCCCCTGCAGACTGTGTGCATATTACTGTCTCGTGATGTCCCTGCAGACGTGGTGTGTGCTAGCTCCACGCGGCCGCCCGCTCTCCTTTCGGAGTGCGTTCCTCGCCCGCCCCGGTAGACGCTTCGTGGTGTTCTCTTCTCAAGGCTTCGGAATCTCCCCGGCGCACTCAGATTAGTTTTCAGGCCCCTTCTCTCTGTCTCCCTTCTCCCCCTGAAGATATCCCCGTTTCCTTAGGACAGAACCGTAGGTGCTTGCACTGGTTTGTTTGTTGCTGTCGCGGCTTGTTTTGTCCCCTCCCCCTGACCCGACAGGGCTCACGCTTCAGGGCCTTGTGTGTCGAACATGTTGGGTTTCCTTTCTCTGTTATTTATATAAAAATAATTTATCAAAAGGATATTTTAAAAAAGCTAGTCTGTCTTGAAACTTGTTTACCTTGAAATTCTCAGAATCTCATTGTTGGAAAGTATTGAAGCACAAACATGTATCATCTCTGTACCGTTCTGTACTAAAGCGCTCGAGTCTAATAAATCAGTCAGTCAGCACCCATTCGTGGTGTCCGCGATGGCTCCTGGTCTGGCTTTGCTCTGGAGAGTCGAAGGAGGAAGGCTTCTGCGGTGGCCCGTTTCAGAGGAGACCGCCACCCCGGCTGTGGCCCCAAGTCTTCCAGACCCCAGTCAGCATCGCTCACGTTAAGATCTGTAATGGTCTCACATTCGAGACAGTTCACGAAGCTTGCCTTGGGCCCTGGGCAGCAACAGGGCACTGCTTGTGGCCGAGGGAGCTCTTTCTGGTCTTATTTGTCCTTATCAGAAAGGCGTCTCTATTCAGAGACCGCAGATGCTCCCTGCTCGGCGGCCGTGCATTCAGGGCAAAAGGGCGATGGGGGCACTTTATCCATCTGTCTGTTCTCCTCCTCTCGTCCTGCTGCCACACCCTTGGCCTTATGAGACTTCCAGATCAGAATCTGGTTCGCATCCTATTGCTCTAGAAGCTTGTTCAGAATCTGGATGGATGGAGATGGGTTTGGCCTTGAGTTAGGGTTGGGGTCACACTGGAAACCTGCTGGAATAGGAGGCACAGGGAGTGGGGTTCTTTGTAGGAACTTCTGGTTCTACTCTCTGGTCTTCAGTCACTGTCTCATTCAAATCTTGATCTCCTTCAAGGCATGAAGACATCTACCAGCTTGAGGCCAGTTGGCGGATGCTACAGCTCCTCCACCCAGCTGTCTGCTGGTGAGACTTGCCAGATAGGGACGTAATGATGATGACGGTGACCATATATTGAGTCCTTGTTCCACGTCAGACCCCCTCGTGTGCTGCGTCTGTTGGGTGGCTCCCTTCCCAGTTTCACAGATGAGGAAGCCAAGGCCAAGAGCAAAGCAGTAACCCCCAAAGCCCACTCCAGCTGGGGGGGCACCAGACACTCACCATCTTATAGCAGTAGTCACTGCCCCAGTAACCAAGCACCCTCGAATGAAATCCAAGATTATAATGTTTAAATTCTAAATCATTCTTTTTTTTTTTTTTAAAGATTTTATTTATTAGAGAGAGAGAGAGAGATCACAAGTAGGCAGAGAGGCAGGCAGAGAGAGAGAGGGAAGCAGGCTCCTGGCTGAGCAGAGAGCCCGATGCGGGGCTCGATCCCAGGACCCTGAGATCATGACCCGAGCCGAAGGCAGAGGCTTTAACCCACTGAGCCACCCAGGCGCCCCATCATTCTTTTTTTTTAAGATTTTATTTATTTATTTGACAGAGAGAGAAAGCACAGGCAGGGGGAACAGCAGGGAGAGTGAGAAGCGGAGCGGCAGGCTTCCTGCAAAGCAGGGAGCCCAACACAGGCTCGAATCCTAGACTCTAGGATCACAACCCGAGCCAAAGGCAGGCGCCTAACCAACCAACCAACCCAGGTACTCCTAAATTTTAAATCATTCTAAACTGAATTGACATTAAAGCGAAGTAAATGCCATTTGCTCCTTCCTTCCAGGCCGCCCATCCCCTGCAGGCCCAGGCTAGTGGCTGGCTAGTCTCTCCCTAATTGCCTCTGACAGGCTTTGACCCAGAGTTCTGATACCTCCCTCCTTTCCACCCACCTCGCCACCAGCCAGCAGCAGAGACCGGACCCTTTATATGCTCTGGCAGTTCTTTCGTGTTACACAGCACAGATGGAGCCTGTGGCCGCCCCTCCAGAAAGTCTCCAGTGATGTTAGATATTCTTGGAGGAACAGGGGGTTCTGAAGCCAAAGCAGATGGCGCTGACTCAGTAACTGAGCAGTCCTAGACCAAGACAGATCTAAGAGCTGTAGCCGGTCACTCTGCCTTTCGAGGGGGCAAGACCTGGCTCAGGGACCCGTTCACCTGCCTCCGTGCACTACCAGGCATTCCTCCCTTGGATACCGAACGGCAGAGTGGCCAGGGGCACAGACCTCACCCTCAGGCAGGCCTGGCTCAAATCTGCTGCGGGTCTCATTCCACGTGATCCTGATAAGGGACTTTTATAGACGAATACACACAGAATGATACATTTATGTAAGGTGTTAAAGCCTCATAAAAAGCACTACACCATGCTTACGGACACACGTGTTGCAAATGTGCAGATGCACGCACGAGAATGACAGATACACTGAAGTCAGGAGAGCGGCCACCCAGGAGGCAAAGGATGGTCACTGTGGTGTTTCCTTAGATCCCCAGTCACAAAATGAATCCGTGGCTTTAAAGTGCTTCACTGAATTAAAAAATAGAGAAATAGTGATTCTACTTGTAGTTAATATATGTTGAGCAAGTATTATGTGTCCAGTATGAGTGTTTCTATCTCTCTTGCTGATTCTTCTCAATTCTAGGAGTTAGAGGTCATTGTTATCCCTACTGACAGATGGGGAAGCAAAGACACAAAGACAGAGGAATTTGGCCGAGGCCTCCAGATGGCACATGACAGAGCCTAGATTTAAACATGGCAGTCTGACTCCAGAGCCCAGTTTCTCTGCTCTCAGGAAAACAGTACCAGTATAAAAAGAAAACAGGATTCTGGTGTGAATACAGAACATGAGTCAGCATGGGCTGGAACTAATAACTCTCTAAGAATTAGTTTAGGGGCGCCTGGATGGCTCAGTTGAGCATCCGACTCTTGATTTTGGCTCAGGTCATGATCTCAGGGTCCTGGGATTGAGCCTGCATGGGGCTCTGTGCTCACTGGCCCCCCAGCCTGCAACGCAGATGTGCACGAGCTCTCTCTCAAATAAGTAAATAAATCTTAAAAAAAAAAAAAAGAAGAATGATTAGTTTACACCGCAACCAAAAAAAAGAAGAGTGGAAGTAAGACACAAAACAATAAAAATTGGATTTCCCAGGACAGCAAGCTACCCCTCCCCGGTTCCCCGTGCACTACCTGTTATGAAGGAGGACTGGCAGCAAGTCCCCGGGCACCACGACCTCGTCCGTTAGCCAAGCAGCTTTCCTCACACCAATCACAGAAGAGTATATTCTAGAATGAAACCAAGTAATTCCATCGCTAAAGGTAGGGAAGAAACCCAAACTACAGAGACAGCAATCGGAGTTCTACTCCTTAGAGTAAAATGTAGCATTGGATGCAACGTTGCCAAGAAGCTTATGAAAAACCAGCTGCTGCTGACCTCCAGCATCCTTGAGCAAATGGCAATTTGCCTGGTGGAAACAGTCATTTAGAGAATGAAAAATGATTTGGAGCACCAGTTGTCAACACATATGCTTCCCTTTTCAATTGGAGCAAACAGCGATGAACGGTTTGAGTCCCCTCTTGGCAGGAGGTCTCCCTCAGCAAAGGCAAAGGGCTCAGAGAAGGCTTGTTCTCTTCATTCAAATCCCATGCTCAGATGACGCCAGACGTTCAGGCAACGAAAGGAAAACTAGTTTGAACCACATCCAGATGTAAAATTTCTGATATCAAAGGACACAATCAACAGAGTGAAGAGGCAGCCCACAGATGGTGCAAAAAATTTACAGATCATGTATCTGATAAGTTCATATCCAGAATATATAAAGAACTCCTGCAACTCAACAATAAAACACCTGACTCAAAAATGAGCAAAGGACCTGAATAGATGTTTCTCCAAAGGAAACATACAAACGGCCAATAAGTACATGGAAAGATGGTCCACTTCATACATCATGACGGAAATGTAAATCAGAGCCTCAGGAAACCAGTTTACTCACTGTATTACTGGTTTATTACAAAGGATATTAAAAGATATAAATCAACAGCCAGATGAAGAGATACATAGGGGGAGGTCCCAAACAAAGGAGCTTCTGTCCCCACGGAGTTTGCAGACCAGCACGGACACATGGACGGCTTCCAGTTTGTCAACCCATGAGCTCTCTAAACCTCGTCTTTTTTTTTTTTTTTTAATGGAGACTTTATTGCATAGGCACAGTGGACTAAATCATTGGCCACTGGTGATTGATTCTGCCTCTAGCCCCTGCCCCCATCCCTAGCAGTCAGGAGGTAGGACTGAAAGTTCCAGCCCGCCAATCACAAGGTCGGTTCCTCTGGAAACCAGCCCCCATCCTTAGGTGCTTTCCAGAAGTCCCCTCATTAACATAAACTCCCATGTGGGTGAAAGAAGTATGTTATAAATATTGAGACACCTTGGGGCTCCTGGGTGGCTCAGTGGGTTAAGCCTCTGCCTTCAGGTCAGGTCATGATCTCAAGGTCCTGGGATCGAGTCCTGCATCGGGCTCTCTGCTCAACAGGGAGCCTGTTTCCCCCTCTCTCTGCCTGCCGCTCTGCCTACTTGTGATCTCTCTCTCTCTGTCAAATAAATAAAATCTTTAAAATCAAATAAAATATTTAAATATTGAGACACCTTTATCACACTTATCACTTAGAAGATTACAGGGGTTTTAGGAGCTCTGTGCCAGAAACAGAGATGAAGACCAAATATGCATCTCATAATATAAATCATGTATCCCACATGCAACCTAGTGGTTCCACTTCGGTGCACATACCCGAAAGTTGAAAGAGGGTCTCTAAGAGATACTCGTATACCATGTTCATGCAGCATTGTTCATCCAGCCAAATGCTGGAAGTAACCCAAGTGTCTGCTGACAGTTGGATGGATAAGCAAAATGTACCACTGACACACAATGGAATATTATTCAGCCTTAAAAAGGACATCCGCAAAAAAAAAAAAAAAAAGATATCTGCTACGACACGAATGAACCTCGAGAAGATTACACGTGGAGGAAGCCGTCACTTGATGACGACTACTGTATGATTCCACATAGATGAGGGCTTGGAGTAGTCAAATTCATAGAGCCCGAAAGTAAAACGGTGATGGCCAAGGGCTCAGAAGGGCATGGGTCGTTCGCGTTCAGTGGGTAGAGTTTCAGTTTTGCAAGGTGAGAAGCGCTCTGGAGATGGATGGTGGGGGTTGCACAGCGATGTGGATGTACTAATGCCACTGTACACTTAAAACTGGTGAAGATGGGGTGCCTGGGGGCTCAGACAGTTAAGTATCTGCCTTCAGCTCAGGTCATGATCCTAGGGTCCTGGGATCGAGCCCCCATCAGGCTCCT